TATTACCCTACTGCAGCGTTTGAAGGCCTAAGGCTAATGGCTGCAGGTTGGTGTGTAAACACCTGCTTGTCCCGAGTGGTAGAAAAAGTTCGCGCAAAACGTCCTCGAAGCGATATCGTCCTTCACCACAACTACGCCTCTGCACATTCCCCTAAGGTAACGAAAGGCGTCATATGTGGAGCTGACGACCCATCAGCCGTAAAGACTAGACCTATGGTGCAAGGTCTAGGCTTTACGGCTGATGGGTCGTCAGCTCCAGTCAGCGACTTCTTTTTATTTCCAAAAATCAAAGATAAACTTAGAGGTTTACGATTTACAAACCCAGAAGTGGCTGGCAATGCGTTCCACGAAGCCGTTCAAAACTGGTCCCAGTGTTTTTCACAATGGTTCTAACGAATGCAAAAGTGTGTGAATAGCAAGGGCATATACTTTGAAAAACAATAAATCTATTATAAACATAATATCTGGTCTTATTTATCAGAATCCAAAAACATTCGTGAAGACATATACACTAGGATCGGCCGTTCCACATTCTTATGAATTTGTGCCTATATACATTCTTTCCATAGGACAATCGTTCGCGAACCTTCTCTTCTCTATCTCAGTCGTTATTACATATTTCACACTGCAACTTCCGTCCCCATCTCTATTAGTGAAGTAGCAGAAACCATACTCGATCTACTCACTGTTACTCTACTGCTCTATAGTTACGCATTACGTTATAATACTACATTACACTACGTTATAACACTCATACAACACCTACATTGTGTCAAAAGTATTTGTTGAAAATTGCATCCTACGTCAATTGCATGTCAAAAACTATACCTTTCAGTAAGAAGTAAGCTTACTAGTAATAATTAGGCTAGTTTGATTATAGGGCAGTGTGCGCCTGCGCAGCGAACGGTAATAAGAGTAATTGCCTTATCGCGTCCTTGTTGCGTCCTTGCTTTCACTGATAACGCCGCTCGCTTATATAACATAACAGCCTTTAGGGTTCAAAAGCGGAAATCCTGTTATCAATAAACCCTTTGTATTTTTCCATTTTCATTAATGTTTTATGTAACTTGGTGAAGTACGCTGGGAGCGATTGGTCGCAAGTAGCCTGTAACTTTACGTCGTGGCATTCCGTTAAGGATATCTATAATCTTATGTTTAATTGATAGTACATATGCATATATGTGCCAGACGATGCTGAAGATGAAAGGAGAACATGTCATATGGTCAAATTTGGTAAGTGCGTTAGCTATTATAGGGAAGCTACAATACTCACAGTAAGATACCGTCTTTGAAGTCGTTGCTTATCTTTTGGAAAGTTTATGACACATAGTGACAAAGAGTCCAAAGACCAAATAAAAGCGTTAAGCTTTTTATATCACTCTCGAGCCGTTTTTGTAAGCGGAAGGTATTTATAAAATTATTAATATTCATTGAAACGTCAAAATCTGTATCAGATCGAAACCGTTTACCGAAACGGAACTCATAATTACTTAATAAGCAACCACTTTACTTCTTGCCACCTGATCGAAATCTCACTAAAGGTCACGATTTGTAACTCTTACTAAGTTTACGCCTTCGACTTTGTTTACGCACTGCGATCAGTAAGTGAAACTCTCAGGTTTTTTACGAAACCAAGTGACGGGATGAATAGAGTTTTAAATCACAAAGATCTGAGTGGCATTGTCACTGCACTCGTCATCCTGTGAGATACTTGACAAGGTCCATGTGCCTGTAACTTCACCAGTACACGCAGTAATGCTTATATGTGTTACAGAAATAGGTAAGGTGGCACGACTTGCCTGGACGAACCCCTCCACAAGAATAAAATATATATAAGTATAGCTTACCGAACGGCGTTATGAGGTAGATTGTTCCTTTTGGCATTCGATGCAAAAATCCTCTTTAAGTCGCTAAGACAAGAAAGTATGTCCACGTTCAAGGAAATCTTTTACGCAGTAAAAAACAGAGTAGTAACGTAAATCCTATACTCTGTATCTTCTCCTGATGCCATGAGATTTGTAGTAACAAAATTCAGATTTTTCTTTTTTTATGTTTTATCGATGGCATACACTACAAGTCGAAAGCCCTATGACTGAACAGTACGCCGAGCGGGTAGGCTCCTTTCATGCACCACTATATTTCAGATTAGATATAGGTCCAATCATGACGTTTATAATTAATACTTATTTTGAAATAGTGTGTAGTGGATGTATGTTATTCTAAGAGCGGTTACACACGGCGGCTTTTAGCGGCGATGCAGTAGCGATGCAAGCGCGTCACTGCATCGATACAAGCGCGCGATTGCATCGCTACACTTGTGATTTATAGGCGATTGCATCGATGCAATCGCGCGTTTGTATCGACGCAGTCGCGCGCCTTGTATAACCACTCTAAAGCTAATGTTGAGTTAATGTCTTTCAGAGCTTAGCATGTTCAAATTGTAACAAAAGACCAAACTATGTAGTATTGAATGGATATACATGGGGTACTAACAAGGATTGAAAAACCTGACAAAATGTAATTACGGAGTGTATTCAACAAGAGTTACACAATTAAAAAAAATATAAAAATAGGAACTGACAAGCCAGGCACAGGAAAACTATAAATTACAGAAAAATGTCTTAAATAGACGCCAAACGCACAAGTATTGTAATTTAGAATTTGATAAACATCGGAAGGTTTTATGTACATTAAATCTTTTTTATTAAAAATTAATAAAAAGATTGCAATATTGCGTTTCGCTAAACGATCTCTATATTCAGAAGTTGAAAATTATAGCCCAAAAAATTATAGTGGTGGTTTGATTGACAAACAAACATAATATACATAACAACATTCACATTTTACTTAAAAATTTCGTAAAACTTGATAAGAGGTGATTTGTGCCTTTCGGAAATTTTGACTTTTAAATGTGAATTTTTAATTCGAAGATCGATTGCTTGCGTTTGGCATAATTTCGGATCAAGGATAATTTCAATGGTATCTCGTGTCATTAAGTACTCTCATTCGATGATTACAGACCAAGAACTGACCTGTTTTGCAACTTATTTAGAGACCTTTAAGTATCATTTTGCTCTCTTAATATAGGCACTGCTAAAATTTTAACGCTTTTATTTAGTTTAGTTAGTAACAACCTTCAAGGCACCCTACGGTATCATACTGAGCTACTGTAGCTTCCCTATAATCTTCTTCTTATCTTATCCATAGTATTTTTTTTGTGATACCAAGTGCGCCTGGTAAGCGACACACCTGTCCATAAAAATTGTAGTTGTAGAGCTTTAAATCGCAAAGATCTGAGAGACCCTGCCACTGCGCCTGTCACCGTGAGATATAAGTTGAAAAGTCCCATGTCACTGTAATTTCCCCAGCACCCTTACTCTTCAAAACTAAAACGCATTAATACTCATACTACTGCTTGGCAGAAGAAATACATATTTCCTTTTTCATAAGGAGCTCTACTGCTAACTACCTCCGAGCCCGAACGGTTACCATGCTGTCACTGCCACGCAGAGGTCCCGGGTTCGATTCCCGGGCCGGGAGAAATATTTGTATGACCTACATTAATTCTCTCTCGTAAGTTTGAGTGTAATTTGGGATTGTCTATGTGTGAGTCCATAGCACCCGCGATACAGGGTTTCCGTAGTGCGAGGCTATGAGCGTGTATGCGTTATTGTTACTGTACTGAGATTATTAGGTCACCATTATACAATATATAAGAATAACAGTGTTCTTTATAAGTCCATTTACAAATCACTATAGTACTATCTGACTTTTATGTTATACTTTGGCTCAAGCAGAAAAATTGTTTCGGAATACAAGATCACAGAGATTCATTATTAAAATAAAGCGAAGAAGTTTTCAACAAACTTCAAGAGTAAGAGAGGTCGTTAGTCACTCTTTGTTATTAATTTATTTATTTATATCCAGTAATTTGTAATTTTTTTATAATATTGTTTTACTTAGTATTCGATGCTAAAAATGTTACATGTTAAAATACGTACAATTCATTCGTACAATAATCAATTATGAAACGCTTTTCCTTGGCTTAATAAAATAGACAGGATCATAAATTTAGTGTGTTCGTTTTCATGTTAAATTGTAGAACATAAATACATTTTACAGAAAGTAAAGCCTCAAATTTCACGTTTTAACTTATTTCAACATCTTAAAAAATACAGAAGTAAAACAACGCAGTATATTGTACTGTTTTTATTTCTCAATGCATTACAATATTGATATTTCATTAATTGAACATGAAATTAAATTAAGTAGGTACAAGGTACAAGTGTCTTAACAGTAGACGAACTTCAGAAGTGTTACTAAATTCTTAAGGTTTATTATCTAGTGCCAATGAAATGACCGAATCACTTTAAATCGTATTGCATAGCGATACTATTAAAAAAATTAGAAGAATTAACGTTGCGGTATTATAATCTTGAGTTTAGATGTAGTCAGGGCAAAACGTTTTGGCCGCCTGCACCTATGTGAGAGGCCGGGAAAGAAATGTGTAACGCAGACAGGTACTGTTAGTTTCAAATATAGATAACTTTCCGAAGTCCTGTTTAACAAAACTGACCTATACTGCCACAGGTGTTTCACTCCTGCTGTTAATAAGTCAAGTTCACGGTCAATTAGTTATGTGTGTACTGTAATAATACAGTACCTACCTATGCAATGTAAGCGATGAAAAATTAAAAAAAATATATCTTACAATCATGCGTAAATTGAAATCGATGTCAGTTTTGTTACACAAATTACTAATTTTTAACTAATTTAATAGATTTAAAAGAATACTGTCTCTTTCATATTAATAGATTACGAAAATGATACGATATGCATTTATATCTATCAAATTGATTAAGAATGAGAAATTTGACCACCAGAATCGACACCATAGTTAGAAGATGTAGAATTTAACCTACTCGGCAAAATTTAATTATATTACAATAACTATTCTACATTTTTATTTGATTTTTCTATTACAATATCTAAACACCTTGAGCTTTTTCATCTAAACGCATGATATGCTTGTGGTTTCAAATTTATTTACAACAACCGTGACAATAACAAATTTAACAAAAAATATTTTAAATGATATTCCTCCCTAAACGTAGCTACGTAATAGTTAAAAGTAACAATAGATTTCATATAATATTGTGCCAATAATTTTATATTAATTAATTTCAATATACTATATTTCAACTGAATCCTATACTGTCTAATATAAAGGAAACTTTGGTAGGTTTTTGACTAAACAAAAATTAATTACGCCTCGTCGCCAATTCATTTATGTTTCTGTAATTTCAAATAAATAAAATGTTTTGTTTTGCTTATTACTAAGTCCTTAGTGCAAACAAACACTTACAGATAGATTTTATACAATTCGTTAAAGGTAATGTGGAACAATTATGTACAGTGAAGAAATACGTTGTCAATCTTAGATCACAAAGTTTAAACTAGGAACAAATATTGAAATAAATCTATGTACTAATGCCCTTATGATACCTATACTTATGATATAAAGTGTTTGTCATGTAACTTTTAAATATGCACGTATTTCACTAGCAAAATTTTAATGCGATATAATAATCATGAAAATCTTCAACTAAGACTATCCATTACTATATTGCTCTTAGGTGCGCTAAAAGAGACGTCATAAATACGTACCTACTCGAACATACGCACTCAGTTCGAAACTGTTCTTGTAAACAATATTCAGAATAAAATATCGTTACAAGTGAACACTTGAACAGTCATCACATCTCTACACGAAAGGATGTGGCCACAACGGTGGCGGAGGCGGCAGCGGGTACACCGGCGGCTATGTGGATATAGCAAGTGCCGAAGGACGAAGCGGCGGGTGTGACGGAGGTGCGTGCGGAGAAGTCGCTGGAGAAGTTCGTGCACCAGGTGAACACGTTACCCGTCCCATAAACGACCTTATTTCGTCGCAATAAGTCTCATCACGTTCCATCTCGGCTGAACTCGGAGAGTCTCCACCCTCCGACTCATGCTTTTTCAAGTGGCGGTCGAGATTTGTTTGCTGTCCGAAACACCTGTCACACAACGGACACCGAAATGGTCTTTCCTTGTTATGTATGTTTCTGACATGTCGTTGCAAGTTGGATGAAATAGAAAAGGAACGTTCACAGTACTTACATTTGTAAGGTTGTTCTCCAGTATGGGTTCGGAGATGGCGCGTCAAATTCGCGCTTCGAGGGAATGTTTTCCCGCAATATCTGCATGCGTAACGGTCACGGAGTTTCCCAGGACCGGTGCTCAGTTCACGAAATTTTGCGTATTGCTGTTGTCTGTCCGGGCCGTCTGTGCCGAGAAGAGGGGATAAAAAATTGAACGGGCTCGGAACGTATGGCGAATGAGAAGTGTTCAAAATACTCTCAGACGCTAAATTGAAGGACGGAAATCTTGGCCGGTACATAGCCTCGTTCAAGCTATTGTTGTGTTGAGGAATAACAGGTGTGGTAAACACCCTGACGCCCTCCCATGTCAGCCTGGGTGGATAGTCTTCTCGTTTAGTCTCCACCTCTTCTACATCGACATCTGTGGTCTCATTCTCCGGGGTTTTGCTTTGGCGATCTACTGGACTTTCAGGTGGTGAATAAGACTTGATTGATAAGTTACGAAGGGAACGATCATCATTGTCTGCTTCAGATTCTTTATCGCTTTGTTTTCGTGAAACAGACAAATCGAGTGGCTGATCAACGTTATCTTTCTTCTGTTCTTCTTCAACATCAGAGTACTCGGAATTTTTCTCATCCTCTTTTACACTTTTGGATAAATCTTTTGGAATCGGTGACGCTAATTTGTCTCCTTCCATGTCATTGTTGGTATGTTTTAACGAGAAACTAAATGGAGATTTTCGTTTCATCTCGTCTCGTGAAAAGTTGAATGGAACGATAGGTGTGGTCATAGGCATAACAGGCAACGGTCGTGGTTGTGAAAGCTCTTCAACAGACGGTGGTGACTTTGCGTACATGCTCTGAGATTTTGGCGAAGTCCTATCTGAATCGTTATCGCGTTTGTTATCATCCAAATCCATTTCTTTTTTCTTTCCATCATCAAGCGAAGTCGAGCTGTCCACGCTTTTCACTGACATGCGTCCTTCTTGTTTTGCCATGTTAGCATTAGACAATGCAATCTTATGTTCCATTGAGGCTAGCACATTTGCTCCTGGTACGTTAATTAATCCAAAAGGATTTAAAAAATCTGGAGGGCATGCTGCTGCAGCAGCAGACAATAGTGCTGGGTAGTGATGGGCAAATGCACTGTATGGATGTGGAAGGGCTGCGCCCCTATACATAGAAAATGGATTTGCGTTGTTAGGAGTATTCATCCCGACGTTTGGCAGGGATGGAATCTGAGGAATTCCTTGGGTAAGCGGTCCTCGCAAGTTAACGTTAGCAGCAGTAGCAGTGTCACAGAATCTTTTATGTTTAGTTAAAGATGCGTATGATGTGAAAGACTGGCCGCATTTCTGGCATTCGACCAGTGCACGGCAAGCAACGTGCATTCGCTTATGGCGGCACAAATTTGAGAACTGGGTATAGGCCTGGAAAAACAAAATAGTATGTTAAAAATAGAATTACAACAGGATATTTTTAAAGAGACAAAAAGATATACGAGTTGTTGGTTAGAGATATTAATGCAAATGCTCACCTTAAAGCAGACCTTGCACTGGAAGGGTTTGACACTGGAGTGGATGTGAGTGTGCTGCTTGAGGCCAGAAGAGGTGGCGAAGGTCTTCCCACACTCGGGACACGCGTGGCTGCGCGCGCCGACGTGCTGCGCGCGGATGTGGCGCTGAAGGTTGGAAGGATCGGTAAATACCTGAAAATATCAGGTTTCGGGTACGGGTGAAATAACATACTCGAAGGTAATCTACTGAAGACCGCGAACTATGTCGAAAATACTTTATGTACATACTATTTGTAGTAAAAGTTTTATAAAAAGCTTTTTTAAATTTTATTAGCTTTATTTTATTAATGTTATTCTATACAAACATATATTATTCTATACATATGTTATCAGTAGAGTGACCACCGACATATGTAGTAATTAGAATTGTTCGAAGAATGAATTGAAATATAACAAAACAAAATTAATGCATACCTTAGGGCAGTTCTCGCAGGGGTACTTCCTGATGTCGGTATGTGCGAGCGCACGGTGACGCAGCAAAAGTGCGCGGGAGCTGTAGGTGCGGTTACAGAGCTCGCAGTGAAATGCCGATGCTGGTTGCCCGTGTGCTTGAATCTGATGGCGGTCGAGACTGAAAGGAAAAAATACATTTCGTTAAAACAAGTTATTTTGTCCTTCACGATCGAATAGCGTCAAAGGAAGTACTTCGAGCCATTTTAAGTATGGCATGTAAGTATGTGTTATCCGAATACAATATTAAGATCATAAGCCTAGTATAAAACTATAATTTTGGTTTGCATAATATATTTACATTTTAATAAGCAGACACAAAAATAAACAACTATATCAGCATTTGACAGAAACCAATTGAAATTCCTTTCCAATTAATATCATAAGATAATCCTTTACATGTTCCTTTAATAAAATAAGCATCTAAATCTTCATTAACTATTCAAATCATAACTGATAAGCCATTAGAATGTGTGAAGATTACGCTAACGAATTGGAGTGGCCTTACGTTGAGATGTCAGCGCAGGCTTGAAATAAACCACCTAGATTCTAGATCGCCTACGCTAGAAATCATTGACTACAACTCAATCAAGTTTTGTACGACATGTGGGTTTATTTACGTAGAAATCGTAAAGATTAAATCTATTTCGAGTATAGCTTAAATTAAACCAACAGAATGTTATAGTAACAAATTTTGTACGTCTTTATTACATCTAAAAAAAAAACATCTAAAAGTTTTATTATTTTGGGTACCTATTTAAGTTTTTCCTCACTCCCATGGCCTAAAAGACAAATTTAAAATTTTTGTATGTAAGAGGCTGTAATGACAAAGTCGACTGGAGTCAGGGACTTATTATAAATTATTTTGTCGATTATAAAGTTAACGAAGACGTAATAATTTTAATATTCCGCCACTTGACACAAAACATTAAAACAGTCATCATTAGCAAAAACGGTCTGACTGATTCCCCTTGACTGTAACTGGTCTACCACACGCAACCCTTACCGCCGCCAGCGATTTCTAAATAGACACCTGTTCTATCATTTACTTTGCTAACATTTTCTATAACTTCAAATACATTGACGCTTTTCAACGTGGTTTAAGATTCACCAATAGTTTTGGTAAGGTTATGTACAGCGTTTTATTTCATGAAATCACCTCTGAGATAAAGTGACGTGTTTTCACTTTTATGGACGGCCGTCCTGGCCATATCTTTTAATTAATCTTGGAACTAAAATCTACCGTCGATAATCGTTCGGTCGCTTACATCTCGTACATACATTGCGTAGTCGTACCAATGGCATGGTTGATTTAAGAGAAAAAAGACGAGATGGATTATTACTACCAAGGATTATTACTTACGAACTATACCAATAATTTTGAACTCTATAGATTTGGTTTTTCAATGATGAAAGGCGCATATTGCAAGAGCTGCTTCATTGCATTATACTTTAAAACAGTAACCTTAGTGTAATAAATTACTCTATTTACAATTCTATAGATAGACACCCTTATATTACATGCTGCCTAAATATAGATTAGAATGCTGTCTTAAATCAATGTCATGAAAGTGGAAAACATTATTTGAGTACTTGAGTAACTGTGTCACTTCACTACCGTCATAAAGCTGCTATTAGTAGCTTCTAATCGACGCACGCCAACGCCCTGAGGGCTCTACAGCACTATCAGTATTACAGCGCTACATCTAAGTAAATGTACCAAACAGAGATCGATTGTATACTCCTTAATAGTATATTGTGTAATGATTGAAAGTGTGCCATATTTCGGCTGTCGCTTTGACAATGGAGCTACAGTTATCGATGATTGTATTATTAGCATGTTAGTTTTTAGACAAATGGTGGAGGAGATAGATGTTTATAGTAGAAATGGGGAACGTGTATGAATTTGTTTTTTTTGAAGCTTCTAAGCATCAAACTCGACCTCAGACCCGGCCCCATCAATTTAGCATAAGACACCAGACATCACGGCTTCGATTCGAATCGTTCTGTTCTTTTTCCTGTTTGTCCTGAGTAGAGTCAATATAGTTGCTCGAGTACAATGCACACAATTCTCGAATTTAAGTTCAGATAATTGATGTAATTAACTGGCACATTTTTATTTAAAAAAATTGACACTTTAATTAACCAAATGAAAGTTTCGTTATTTAGTGAAGCAGAGACCAAATCTTCTGCCATTACATTACAGTTAAATTGTAACGTCCACTAGTTTTATTGATATGTTATTAATACAAACATGACAAATTTCTCAAATGACTCAATCGTACGTACAAAATGTAATATAGCCGAGTACGTAAAGGAAAATCTCGAACGTTCATAATTTTACAATACTATTATGTGTAATAAATATTTCAAATGAAGAAAACTATGGAAGTATTTTGGGTCTGGATTCCAGCTTTGCTAGTCTTTAATTTCTTTGAACTCTATGTTCCTAATATTAGCAATAACAAACGTAATATCTCATAAAATCTCGATCAAACGATCGCAGAGCAATCTACATGTTAGAGGATAGATAACATCCAATGAACAAGTTTCGTTATGAGTTCAACCATTAAGCTCCACCCACACATGCTTCTGACGCGATTATTAAGTCTAACATGCTGCCAGAACATTCCATACATTTTTCACAATCTTTCTTAAAATACCAAGTACACGTAAAACGTAACTGTATCCGGGGGGACTCTAGCACATTTTCTGGCTATAAATTCTTAGTCTGACTAGAAAAGCTGGCACCTTGGTTACCTTGTTTCATCCGTACCATGTAATAGCAGTTCTATATTTCAATTTTTACTGTATGTTATACCTTTGTGTTCTTAATTGGAATAAATATATACTACATTTCTGACTATTTTTTTAGTACACATTTCAAACGTAATTATCTTTTTCTTTTTTCTTTTTTCCAATTTTTACTAAAAACTTTTAATAACGGAAACAGCGAATTATTATTCGCTGTTTTCGTTATTAATAGTAACTGTAGCACAGTTTTTACAGTGAATAGATTTTTTCCACAATATCTATTGATAGAAGAAAAATTGTTTAGACGTAGACTACAATATATACAAATAGTTATAATATAATGCACATTGTACTGTACTTTTGTGTAAATTATAACAATGTTTTATTTCAATCAACAAAATTTTGTATTCTCTTTCTCGTGTCTCTCTTTCTCTACATCGCTTTTATAATTTTAAATTTCTATTTCTTCTAAGCAACATTTTAGAGGCTCAACACACTAATGGCGTACTACCGAAGAACGTGCTTACATTTTAATAATCGACTGTAGATGCCGATCTGTAACAATCGGTTGAGAAATACTCGATTCGGTCGATCTGACAAGATAATATGGATATTTCCAATGTCGATTCGATTCTTACTACGATTAGCTGTAAGAAAGGTTAAATACGTAGAAGTTACTTGCAGAATAAAGCTGCTGTATTGATGTTATAATATCACGTCAAATTTATCGTAGATAAGTGATGTGATGTATAAGTGTCATAAGTGTTGTGTCAGCCAGCGCAATTACAGACAAAGCAGAATTAACGTCTTGACAACTTGACAGATATATTTTATTGTAAATGTCTTCTTTGACCATAGTTACTACGTGAATCTGAATCTGCTCACAATTTAAATAACAAAACATACAAATATATCGCGCACACTTGATGAAATAAGGCCACATCCGCAAAATGAAAACTTTTCAGGAGAAATGTTTAAAGATTCTACAAACGAAATTAGTCCTTTTTTTATTTTAATATGAGAGTTATTGATTTATCCCATGTATATTATATTATTTTATTACTTTGGTCTGATAAAAGCGCTTTCGACGTATGATTACATGTGTTATTTTCAAGCTAGTTTTCTCTACATAATTTCGATGGCAACTTTTATTTAAGGTTCGAGTATATTATCGCAAAATATTAAATAATATTTAAGAACACTACACTCGAATATTATGTATTATGATAATATTTTAGAATATTTAAATATCAGGTAAAAATTGCTAACGAAATTACGTAGTGAAAACTAACCTGACAAATTATCCACGTAGCTTTATTATACCACGGGTTAGGATATGCAGTTTTTTCTAGGCAAATTTTGAATTTTTATATGAGCTCTATATTTCTTCGTATTTTATTTCTATTGTTCCGCTCAAAAGGCGATAGTCGTAAGCTCAATAGCTACCAGTTTTATATTACCTACAATACAACTAACTTGATTACAGATGATTGTTAGCAATACGGAAATGATAAGTCACTTTGCAAAAGCCACACCTTTAAATTTTATAAACCGTAATTTAGAGCTGTAACAACTATATTACTCTAAATAGCATACTGTTTCTTCGCAAAACTATAAATTAAGCGGGTTGGATCTTATAAATAAAGTTGGAAACACATTTAAAGCTGTGAGCTTTATTTTTACATTGGTGAAGACCTTATAAAACGTTATTATTTAAAAATGTTATTTTAAGGGAATTTATTGAGGTTTTTGATAATTCATGTTTGTATTAGTAAATACCGTGGAACGGGACATAAATTAAAATATTCAAGAAACTATTTACATATTATATTGACACAGTTTTAAAAAATACCAAAGTGCTTTCTAATTTTCTATTAATTGTACAAATTATATGATCAAACAAAAGAAAATTCAAGTTTAAAATTGCATACTTTAATTTGATCTTCATGCATATTGTACACTAACGCTCATTTTTCAGTACAGCAAAATGGTCATAATAAATCAGTGATGAACAAACATAATGATCATACAAAAAGGTCGAGGAAAGGAATGGGCTGTAATTTCGATGCGAATGCGCAAGCGGCTACCCATGGATCAGATATCGATTCATGGTATGACAGTTGTGACGTGGACCAAAGAAAAAATGTTATGAGAACCAGTTCTTGATTGGTAAATAAATAAGACACGTACGTTTGAACAGAATCCTAATTAAATTTATCTATAATAACAACATAAGCAGCAGTAGCAGTAAACCTCCGTGTGAAAGAGTTCGTCCAGGGAAGTACCGCCACCTTACCTATTTCTGCCGCCAAAGCAGTAATGTCAGCATTACTGTGTTCCGGTTTTGAAGGATAAGGGTGCTGGTGAAATTACAGGCACATGAGACTTGTCAACTTATGTCTCAGGATCACGGGCAGTGGCAGTGCCCTTCAGATCTTTAAGCATACCATCAGGCGCACGACTTGTTCGTCCCGTCACTTAATATAAAATAAAAAACAAAGTTAATTGAACATTCGTAATATAGTAATGATACCTGGCATGTTAATCACTCACAGAATGTAATATAAGTCCTAGAAGGGCTTCTATATACAAGATATCCTGAGAGACACATAAAAATAATAATAACTAATTGCCCCTTAACTACCTTAGAGAAACTTATTTATGTTCACCTTGGAGAAATATATTTATGTTTCTCTAAAGTGTAATTCGTATTTACGAAATAATACATTCTAAATTCTAAGGAATCGAAACTACAAAGCTATGTAAAGCAATGTAAACCAATGAAAGTAAACAGCTTGATAAAATGTAATATGGACGACAGATACGAGTTAGCAGATCTAAGAGACTGTAGCTACTATGATTTTACTTATCTTCAAAACATTACGTTTATTCTTTATGCTGTCTCTTAGAGATTTAATCGCACCTATAACTTCGAATATAAAAGTGTAATATAAAGTAAGAGTGGAAGTGGGAGATCCAATAAGAGAGCACAACAATGTTGTAACAAGATGCATTACTTCTATAGACGTTTGGAACGCGACAGGATAATAGAAGACATCAATAATTGTCGTGCATCACTAGCTGAAAAAATATAGAAGTATCGAAGGTGCCTAAGGAAAGATTTCAAAAGGAGATGCCACAGTCTTGTGTTGTAATTAGGATTTGCCACTATCGCCACTGTTGGTATGAGGATTTTCAATCGCAGTATTAGTAAATGCATATAAACAAATGGTTTAAATAATAGTTTGCTGTTTGTTCAAAAGTCTACTAACAAATAAAAACCAAGTACAAAAATGAAAAGCAAAATAGTAATTGCAAATCGATCACACCTAGCTGCTACAAAACAATAGTGATGGCACGATAACAGGATAAAATGGTGCATGTCGATAATCTCGATGTGTGCATTATTGAAGAGTCCGACGATAGAATATGATGACACACGCCATTATGAGCCGGCTGTCACACAGATAATAAATTCATGATACGTTTTTCTATTCGTGATGAGCCGCTTAGTTTATTGTTGTTGTGATTTTATCGGGTATTCAGCTTTTTTATGTTGAACTACCAATGAACCGGGTGTATTTGTAAAGAAATGAGTTTGTAAAGTTTTCAGAGATACTACGATCAAAGATCTACTAGATTGTTAATAGATTGGTATAAAGAATCAATAACCTTTGTAGTTTGACGCAGGTGACTTTATTATGAGACGGGATGAACAAGTCGTGAATCTGGTGGTAAGCGATACGCCTTTCCATAACAGTTGCAGTACCACCCAGAGATTTAAAACGCGAAGATCTGAGGGGCACTGACACTGCGTTACCGCGAGGCATAAATTGACAAGTCTCAAGTGTCTGTAAATTCACAAGCACAAAACCGGAACGCAGTGTTTGCCTCTGTCACTGAATATCATGTTCTTTCTTCTAGATTCAACATTTTCCTTTGTGCAGTTTAAAAGACTTTAAAAGAACAGTATTTTTAGAATTTATTCCATCCATAAACAATAATGACCGTTGCCTTCTCCTTTTTGAAAATCGACAACGACGTTTGAAACTGGAGCGTTCTCAAGAACATAACAGATGTGACATCGCGTGCCGTTCCGCCCCGCAACAAATCATCGAGCGACTTATCAAACGGGCACATCTCTAGCGGTGACTATTTCTTAAGGCTTAGAACTTACTATAATCTTCATTGACTATAGAGAAAAATAGGCTGTGCTGTCCGATTTTATCAATAATGCACAAAATTCCACCTTAACACATTCCTAATTCCTATCTTTAAAACCAAACGGTATTAAAAATTTGAAAATAATTGTAAATACTATAAAAAGGAAGTACTTAACACCACAGTTCGCATAAATTAATTATAACTGCAAACATTTTAAAAGCAAATTCATGAAAGGAAGATCATGTAATATTTTTAGAGTTGTTTTTCTTTATATTACAAGACAAGTAAAGCACGTAAATATATCAATCACTACATTACAGTACGTTATTTCAATAATAACAAAAAATGTTTTCCTTAGAGCAATTTATACTGAAGATATCTTCAGTATAAATTGCGTGTACATTGTAGACCTACCCTAACCGCTCTGGACTTGTTCTACCGACCAAATAATATTAATGGTTAGAGGCTAATGGTTCCGAAGACGTTTGAAATGAATCGCTGCAACTCGGATCTCTCCGATAACACCCGAATGACTGATTTGAATTCAATACTAGAAACATGTTCTTACTGTGAAACCAAGTTATATGTACTGTTAACTATTGCACAGCCCTCATATCATTTACATTTAAATTTATGAGTTTCGAACTTATTCATCTGTATAGATAACATGGTAATGTGTTATATATTTGTAGATGTAAGATTATACCTATCAGTTTAAGATTCAATTTGTAATTAATGGCACGAGATATTAATGCGTCGTTACGTTTCGTAAGGTGACATTAAGTAAATTTACTTCTGTAATTTGATAATAATAATAATAAATAATGTATTTTATAATTTGTTTTTAGCGTGTTTTATACCTACAAATTATTTTTATTCGTTACGCGAATATTTTCATTATAAGCCTACCTCATTATTTTAAATCATTTGAAACGTAAGTATACAGCAGCTCTTTCTTCTAGTGTTAATTCTTTTACAAGTGCTTTTAAAGTACATATTTTTATTATTCATTATATCTAACAAATCTATTTGAATTGATACTTACATGTCAATATTAGGGAATGGCGCGTCACAGAATGAACAACGTGGCTCAGCGTCTTCGCGCTCTTCGTCTTCTGTCGGCGGCAACGATCCTCCCGACGAGTTGAAGCTTTGGCGATCTGCAATAATAAATAAAAGTCATATTAGACAAGAAAGTATATTTTGACTTACAGAGAAACAGAGAATTGCTCTATAAGTAATATTATTGACATATAAAGCACAGAAATACTTTTGAAGAACGCTGCGTTTATAGTTAAAGTAGTGTATTTCTTGGTATTGTAACCAAAAAAACATAGCACGCCATAATTTTGATAAAACTATACCTACTTCGAAGCAAAACAATTTAGGCAAGACGTTCAGAACAAAAAGTCTAATGAAATCATAATTAGAAAAGAAAGACTTAAAAAAAAGAAGTTGTCATGTCATGAGCGCGAGAAGCTGCTGAGGCCGTTATAAGTGTTAGTACCTCTACAGTGCTTTCGGATTCTACCGAATCGTGAATTTAACCCTAAAGGGAACAACATTTTGCTCGTAAACAAAACCAAAATACAACCTAATAATACATACAGATAAAATAATATTTTATTCACTAACTTAGTACCAACTTGTACATACAATGAAACTATTTTTTCGAATCTAAATCGCGTCTAATTATTTATTTTTCAAACAAACCAAAGTTTCGGGTCCTTTAACCACATTAAAAGACGCACGATGCGAATGAAAGTTCATACTTGACATTGTTTTCTTTAATTTGGTCGAATTACTTATTTGAAAGTAATTGTTTCGGACGCATGTCGGACGGAAAACGAGAGTAGACAGGAACCCTGGTCCGATGATCACAGCTGGTAATTTAGACCCGAAAAAATCAATTCATTTGCGACTAATAATTTTGTGCGTGGCTAGTAGTCTTGTAAATACAAATACGTAAACAAAATATTTACGTGTCAATATGTCTATTTAAACGAAACATTCATTCACCGAAACATTATTCAAAGTCTATAATTCACAAGATGAATCCATTTGACCTGAAACAGAGACTTACACGACCGCAACTAAATCAATTGAGAGGGCTACAATTAATACTACACAGGATGCATAATTCTCTTACGACTTTGTATATTGATTTGTTATTTATGGGAGCACGAAAAGTGTAACGACGTAACCGTATATATGTAGCTTACTATTTCTAGCAAACGCAATGCAAAAGACATTATAGAAAAATATATTGTGAAACGTTTGCATATTATAACGAGTAGAGTATACAAATTGTCAGAACTTTTAAAAAGAATATGACAAACTTTTAAAAACCAAATATTTTAAAATGAGTGTGTTTTCTAATTGTGGCACTTCACATGACTATTTGTAGATGCGTATTTGATATATTTGGCAAACAATCGCCATGTGTAGATGGCATGTGTGACGAAATATTTGCCTTGTTTGCCTATTCGACCAAGACAGAAAACACCAAACTCGCTTTACCGCGCGCTGGCCGGGTTCTCGACACGCATCAAAGGAACCAAATAGGCAAATACGCAGGTAAACCGTTTACACTATGGCCATTATTTTAACTCCATATTTGTCTCCATGTGCAGCCGGTCATATTTGTCAGCGTTTGCATGTTTTGCCTGTACATCAAATATTTTTCCAAGTTCATCAAACACCCAACAGAGAATAACCACCATAATATTAGATATTAGCGAGAGTTCGGAATTGCATATGTAGTGATACGCCATTCGCATAAAAGCCACAAATACAACCACAAATTCTTCTGTAAACGCACAAATACCACTACGTATACAATTCCCAGCTCTCGCTGATATGACTATACTATGTATTATAGTACCAGATTTAAAAACGAATGCGATGAACGCTGTATGGCGATAGTATTAATCACGAAGTCACGTAATTGGAGACGTGTAATCTTTGGTAGAGCAAGAGAAAAACCCGAAGTCACTTTAAAAGCATAGTTTTGTATACACTTTTCGTAGTTCTTTTTTCAAATAATGTAGCCGTTGTGCAAATAAAATATATTATTACGGTGGCTTGGAAGTCAGGGATTGCCGGACGAGTTTGAGTTATTATACGAGTCTCAAACAATCATCAGAAATAATAAAAGACTAAGGAATAAACAAAAAAATGTACTATACAAAATTTTAAAAAAATCCTGCAAATACGGAGTGATGCTAGAAGACAGTTGGCTGTATGAAACTTTTTCTTTAGCAAGTTTTCATAGCGAGTTCTTAGGTTTTCGCGATTGTGACACATAGGAAATAGAACTATTGTTCCGGATTTAAATCGCGTATATTTGTTTTTTCAAACAAACCGACATTTCGGGCCATTTACAGGCCCATGGTCACGGTTGACAATTTGTCAAAATAGTTTCATTTCCTAAGTTTTCATAGTTTATTATCAGTAGATATATTAAAAAAAAAAATTTTTTTTTTTTTTTAAATTTTTAGATATATTTATGAGTTTAGAACAGCGGGCAGATACATATATATTATAGGGGTTAAAGTATGAAATTGCCGTTTTATTGCAATAGGTTCTT